TGTACAAGCTTGTGCTTAATGAGCTATTTTTTACTTCCTGTTCGCAGCCAGCTTCCCATAATCGATTCTGCTAAGTTGCTCCCAATGGATTTTCTCGTGGAGTTGGTTCGTCGCGTTTGCGATGCCCCAATGTCTATGCCCGAACCAAAAGTTTATCAGAAATTACTCGACTACAATACAGCGTTACTGAAAGGCGTACAAAAAGGTCTACAACAAGCTAGTGCGACGTTGTTGGAAGTCAAAGGCAAACAGTCTTTGGAGACTGAAAGCGATAAGCCGCCTGGCGAGACAAAAAGTAAAACTTCTCGCAATCGAATATCGCTTCCCCTGGGAATATTTACACCAGGAAGATTGAGAAGATTGAAAGCAGGCACCAGATCCTTCACCGATCTTTCGGAACCTGTTGATGAAAAGGCAGACCCTCTGCAAGGTATCTCGTCTGCCAGCAGCACACATATAAGCAAACGAGAGCCTGGGTTACGGCTACGCAAGGGCCGTGATGAGGCTGTGTCGTCTAGAGAGAATTCAGATGATGCTTTCCAATTTAGGCTGCCTACAGACGATTTTACGCTTGGAACGGTGGGCGAATATACAGCCATAGCGACCACAGTGTCAGCAAAGAGCAAGGATCATGGGAGCGCGGGTGGCACTGCTGAGGGCAGCCCGGCGAAGGGCCGGGACGACCACATACTCAGCAAGCACAGGATAGAGGGCGGGTGCACGCTGGCTCAGTTACTGTATGTGATATGCCTGTTGATTGAATTGGTCGGTTTTCTATTATCGTTGTATTACTGACGACTGTCTGCCTTACTACGAATGTGAATGTTTGCTTCTCAATTGCTGTATGTGATCCGCCACTGTATATTGTCAAGATGTAGATGTAGTTATCGAGGTTTTTGTTTAGTGCGAACGCTTGCCTGCGCAATTTCCGTGTAGTCGCCATATGATCTGAGGGCATGGACATTCAGGAGGATTCGCACGATCCGTTGTCCTCGGGTGAACATAACCTTGCTGTATCACTGTATGTGAAATGCCTATTGAATTTTTATAGATCAAATATGTTCGTGAGTGAAACTATTTTAAACTTCCGCTGTGGTTTTACCCTGTTATAGCTAGATGCATTTTCCTCGGGTAAAGATGCTCTTGCCCTATCACTGTACGTGATATGCCTATTGAATTATTATATAGTTTATCATATCAAATTTGTTCATGAAGTGAAACTATTTTTAAACTTCCGCTGTGGGTTTACCCTGTTATAGCTAGATGCATTGTCCTCGGGTAAAGATGCTCTTGCCCTATCACTGTACGTGATATGCCTATTGAATTATTATATAGTTTATCATATCAAATTTGTTCAATGAAGT